TTAAGCTCGGGTACCCAGTCGATATATGATAACCCGCAAGTATTCGGGATCACAACAATTTTCGAGGGTAGAGTATTCAACCCAAATTTATTGATTCGACACAAGGGGAGCCAAAGAATATTCTCAAGTATTAGCAATTGAGTTGTTAATTCAACCACACCTGGATAACTTAGTATCTGCAGCAAGGTATTTAGTAGCAAACTAGTATGGAAGTAACGATAATAGTAGCAAAAGTAACAGTAGCAGTTTTGTAGTAATGGTAACAGTGGCAACAGCAAAGTAACTAAGCAAAGCAGAATATGTGAAAAGCTTGTAGGCATTGGATCAGTGATGGATAATTATGTCGGATGCGATTCCTCGTGTAATAGTTATAACATAGGGTGACACAGAACTAGCTCCAGTTCATCAATGTAATGTAGGCATGTATTCTGAATATAGGTATACATGCTTATAGAAAAGAACTTGTATGACATCTTTTGTCCTACCCTCCCGTGGCAGCGGGGTCCTAATGGAAACTAAGGGATATTAAGTCTTCCTTCTAATAGAGAACCGGACCAAAGCATTAACACTTAGTGAATACATGAACTCCTCAAACTACGGTCATCACCGGTAAGTATCCCGATTATTGTCACTTCGGGGTTAACGGATCATAACACATAATAGGTGACTGTAGACTTGCAAGATAGGATCAAGAACTCACATATATTCATGGAAACATAATAGGTTCAGATCTGAAATCATGGCACTCGGGCCCTAGTGACAAGTATTAAGCATAACAAAGTCATAGCAACATCAATCTCAGAACATAGTGTATACTAGGGATCAAACCCTAACAAAACTAACTTAATTACATGGTAAATCTTATCCAACCCATCACCGTCCAGCAAGCCTATGATGGAGTTACTCATGCACGACGGTGAACATCATGAAATTGGTGATGGAGGATGGTTGATGATGACGACGGCGACGGATTCCCCTCCCCGGAGCCCTGAACGGACTCCAGATCAGCCCTCCCGAGAGGTGTTAGGGCTTGGCGGCGGCTCCGTATAAAACGCGATGAACCCTTCTTCACTTATTTTTTTCTCCATGAAAGCAAATATATGGAGTTGGAGTTGAGGTCGGTGGACGTCCAGGGGGGGCACGAGGCAGGGGGGCACGCCCAAGGGTAGGGGGCGCACCCCCACCCTCGTGACCAGGGTGTAGGCCCCCTGACGTTAATTCTTTCACCAGTATTTTTTATTAATTCTGAAAAGTGTCTCCGTGGATTTGCAGGTCATTCCGAGAACTTTTATTTCTGCACAAAAATAACACCATGGCAGTTCTGCTAAAAATAGCATCAGTCCGGGTTAGTTTCATTTAAATCATGCAAGTTAGAGTCCAAAACAAGGGCAAAAGTGTTTGGAAAAGTAGATACGACGGAGACGTATCAACTCCCCCAAGCTTAAACCTTTACTTGTCTTCAAGCAATTCAGTTGATAAACTGAAAGTGATAAAGAAAAACTTTTACAAACTCTGTTTGCTCTTGTTGTTGTAAATATGTAAAGCTAGCATTCAAGTTTTCAGCAAAGATTATGACTAACCACATTCACAATAACACTCAGGTCTCATGTTTACTCATATCAATGGCATAATCAGGTAGCGAGCAATAATAATAAAACTCAGATGACAACACTTTCTCAAAACAATCATAATATGATATAACAAGATGGTATCTCGCTATCCCTTTCTGAGACCGCAAATCATAAATGCAGAACACCTTTAAAGATCAAGGACTGACTAAACATTGTAATTCTTGGTAAAAGAGATCCAGTCATAGTCATACCCAATATAAATTAATAGTAATGCATGCAAATGACAGCGGTGCCCTCCCGCGGGTGCTTTTTAATAAGAGGGTGATGACTCAACATAAAAGTAAATAAATAGGCCCTTCGCAGAGGGAAGCAGGGATTTGCAGAGGTGCCAGAGCTCGATTTTTAAAACAGAGATAATAGCATTTTGAGCGGTATACTTTCACTGTCAACATAATAACTATGAGATCTTGATATCTTCCATGCTACACACATTATAGGCGGTTCCCAAACAGAATGGTAAAGTTTTATACTCCCTGTCCACCAACAAGCATCAATCCATGGCTTGCCCGAAACAACGGATGCCTCCAACTAACAACAATCCTGGGAGAGTTTTGTTTAATTATTTTGATTTGATTTGAGCATGGGACTGGGCATCCCGGTGACCACCCATTTTCTCGTAAATGAGGAGCGGAATCCACTCCTCTTGAGAATAACCCGCCTAGCATGGAAGATACAGACATCCCTAGTTGATACATGAGCTGTTCGAGCATACAAAATAGAATTTCATTTGAAGGTTTGGAGTTTGGCACATACAAATTTACTTGGAACGACAGGTAGATACCGTATATAGGAAGGTATGGTGGACTCATATGAAATAACTTTGGGGTTTATGGACTTTGGATGCACAAGCAGTATTTCCGCTTAGTACATGTGAAGGCTAGCAAAAGACTGGGAAGCGACCAACTGAGAGAGCGACAACAGTCATGAACATGCATTAAAATTAATAGACAGTGAGTGCAAGCATGGAATAATGTTCTTCCTGCCTAGCCCCCATTCCGGTGGTGCGTCTAGCATCATCGTTCGTGTCTCTTCAAATTGTATCCTTTTGATCTACGCCTACTCTTCATCGGCGGCGATTGCTATTTTGATGCTGGGCCTATGCGGGCCTTAGCACGGCGAATTCCCGACTGTCTACTGATAATGCTTGTGTTACTGGACCGAGGTTAGTGCACGCTCACTTTTTTTGGTGTGTTGCTGTGATCACTGACCCTGACCTGGTAATTGTACTCGATGAGAGCTTATAACATGTCAAACTGACCATTTCCCTCTCTCTGTCTGAATTAATTATGCAAGTCATGACTTGCAGATGAGGTTTGGATATGAATTAGAAAGATCTCAGAATTAGTTTCTGAAGTTGCAACACACAAGTTCCAGTCTGTGATTGGCGGATTATTTGTTTGTTTGATACTCCCTCCGTAAACTAATATACATAAGAGCGTTTAGATCACTACTTTAGTGATCTAAACGCTCTTGTATCAAGAATGAGAAAATTCGCCGAGAAAAGTCAATCGTGCCCCTAGTTTTTCTAATGGATCATGTTTTGACAGCCCAGCATTGGTGCCCCTTGAGCAATTGTTTTACCCCCAAGGTTTGTACCTTTTTTAAAGAAACACTATATTACACATGAACCCCATGTACGTCTGGTTCGAGTGTCGTGCACACGAATATACATACACTGGATTGAAGAAAACACCGCATAGATAATTATAAGGTTCACGCGAATGTCCACCAATACATATATGGTTGGAGCGTTTTTTTTTCTTTTTGCGAAATATACATGGTTTCAGTGTTAACAATATCACAACTCACATAAAAGCACGTAAATGATGTCAACTAATGCAACCGACATACAATTTAAAGTTTGCCCTAAATATCCACGGCGCTGATAGATAGTTAAAAGGTTCACATGAATGTCGGCCAATACATAGTTAAAATGTTCACATGAATTCCGTAATGATGCAAACACTGTAAGATCGACACCAAATACAAAATGCAAACTATACACGTGGTTACATAAGCCAGCCCAGAACCTATTCCATCTTTCCTTTTCAGTTTCTGGAAGAACTGTTTCAGAATCGATTGCTCGCTGCACAGTAAACAACTAGCAGATTGCCACTTTTACTTGCTACAACTGAATCTGCAGCGAATAGTGACCAGTTTAACAAAGAAAAATATGTATAAGGGGTTACTACATTACTCAAAAGAGAACATCTGATCTACAATTTTTCACTTCACCTAGATGTGCTCCCAGATAGCAGCCTTGTCCAGCAAACAACAAGAGGAGCAAATAACTAGTGTCATAAACCAATTTTGATGGAGCTGATTTTGGTGGGGTGGAGCAGTCCCAAACATGACCTTCTCTAATTAATCAAATCCAACATATCAAGAAGAGATTGTTTGAAGACATAAGGCCACGAATGAAACAAAGACACATGGAGAACAGGCAAGTGTGTGTGTGTGTGTGTGTGTGTGTCATCCATCTTTTCTCGCCGGGCGCAAAATAAGTGCCATATGCAATCCAATGATGGTTTGTGATCGGAAACCAACTAGTCCGTGTAGCAAAAAGAAGCTCTGTATTTCTTCAGAATCAACATTTACTCCAACTCGTTACTCATGTGGTCCAGTCTATAAACTTCGCACTCTTATCAATAGCAATAGGCGCAGACGAAGGAAGAGGCCTCCTTGCCCGCAAAAAGGAGAAAGAATGAAGATTTCTTCTCCCTGATGTGGTCCATGAGTACAATGTAGTGCATTACCGAGCGTCAAGATGAAATGAGACATACAAGTTAACACGATGTGCATACGTATATACACACATGGTTCCATCCAGTCCACCAAATCAAGAGGAACCAAGCAACTTAATCACGGCTGCTGCTGCTGCTGCTGCTGCTGCTGGTAGGCACTCCGTCAATTACCGGGCTTGGCACTGCCTTATATGATATGAGATGGATCAAGTCACCAACAATCCAAATGGAGTCAATTGGTCCTCTACCCAGCAGATTAAGCCCTACAATGATGATAACAATATGTGGTCAGAAACCAACCACTCTAGCTAATCAGACGCAACGAAAATATATAATTTCAGATACTCAACGGGATAGATTCATATATTATACTGACCGAAATTCATTTGGGCCTTCAGAAGATCAATACTAACACTGTAAGACTGACTTAAAAAAATTAGCAATACAATGGACAGGACATAACCTGGACAGCCCCTCTGTAGTTAGGACTGTTTGCTAAGATTAGCAGAATGACAGAGCACAGTACCACCAAACTAACTAACAAATACTTGCATCCTATAGCAACGTCGACCCTCTATACTGCATATGAACAATAGAGGCAAAAACTAGGAGCAAGCTTACCGTTTCAAATAGTTGGTGGAGACAAGTATGGCGGGAAGCCCGAATACAGTTGGTCCTGCAATGGCATTATGTCACTATTCTGAGAGAAGCGCTCAAGATCCATAGTGCGAAGATTCAGTGAGAAGCAGCAGCCCGGGTCCGGCACTTTATCCGGATGGTACGGTTCCGGGTCGTCTGTAACCACATACAGGAGCAGGTACCCCCCAGCTACACCAATGATCCGATAGAGGTGATCATGGGACAATTTGACCACCTTTTTCTTTTGCCACTGCCCTGGGTCGTCGTCCCCAGTGCTAACCAAAATGGAATACCGGAGGCGAGGCACGCGGTGTGTGGGAGTTTGGCTGAGAGCGAACATCCCAAGCCTCCCTTGGCTTGCTTCCACAAAGGCCAGCTCGTGATTCATGAGATCAGACGGAAGGTCGACGGTGGAGAACTCCGTGGTGGCCGTGTCGAGCATGAGCAACTTGTCCATCGCACATACCGCCCAACAGAAGCACCCGTGCGCGTAGTAGCGCTTTCCGACCGTAACAGCGGATAGCACATGGACACTGACTCCTGAGAGGAGGGCGGTCCAGCCATCAAATGCGACGGCGCGCCATTGTCCGGCATGGGGACCTGATGAAGAGTGGACGTAGAGGACCAAGCGGGTCTGGTACTGGGCCAAGCACATGACTTTGAATCTGGAGGGAGCGTCCGCAGCAGTGTCATCAGCGCCCTCGTCCCCGCCGGCGGGAGCAAGGAAAGGATCCAGGCAAAAGACCAGATCGGGCAGGCGGGGGACGGGGGGTAGCAGGAGGTAGCGCCGGCGCAGCGGGTCGCACACGGCGACGTCCCTCGCCAGGCAGTGGTGGTCGGTGGCGGTGCAGAGGAGGGCGCGCCCGTCGCGGAAGTCGTGGAGAATCCAGGGCTGGTCGCTGGAGGGGAGGAAGGAGCAGGAGAAGTCGGTGCCGGCGAGGGTTCGGGCGGCGGCGGCGGAGGGGTGGGGCGGCTGGGCTGGGAGGAAGGGGTCGGAGAGTACGCCCAGGAGAGGCGGCGGGT